TTTTGGCTAATATATTTATACATATAACCGTTATTATTTTAAGTGATAATTATTATAGTTAAAACATATTTTTACTTTGATAGTCAATATATTTTTGCTATTCAATAACAAATTTAATAACGCGGTGACCTTAATTACAGCACTCGTTGCTGTGATCTACCCGGCAAATATTTTGTCCACATCGCAACTGTTATATATAAATATTCAACGATAATTAATCAAGTTTAACGAGACGACAACTACGACAATAACAATAAATCAATCTGTACGCTTGATGGAAAGTCTAGTGTTTTATTATATTCTAGAAAAACGAAAAGCTGAAAATTTACAACATTAAAATATCACATATATATATATAAAATGATTTTGTCTATATAGTGTTTGTGGTGAAACTGACCGGAAATGATCGATTAATACACTATATAGTATAAACCACTCGGATAAAGCTCGTAAGTATATGCGTACGATTATATCATTACAATCACATAATGATTTTACCGCACCAGTGTCCGATTCTAAAGTTTTATATATTTCACGGACGGCCGTTATATCATTATATTGACTGTTTGGAGAACTATTATTACAGACCCTTTCACAACAGCATCCAGCACAACCGTATCGTTTTCAAACAGCTTTAGTCATTCGACACTGCCGGAATGTCGTATTCTGTGACAATTTTACGAGTTTTATTTAGTAGTCAGCCGATACCCCATACGCACATTATTATTATATATAGCTTGTATTGGCGTATGGATGTATAACTGTAAAAGTTCGGTGACGCCTAGATGCCGTAAATTTAGCGAGATGCTGAGAATAATAGCAATTCAATTATAAAAACCATCTACATTAACATTAAAGCTTCGTTTGGCTATTCTCTATTCTATTCATATCAATAATTATCTTTAGATCCAGTTGAATTTAAATCATTCGTCTAATTAACACCCGTGTTCCGAGTGGTTAAAAATAAATAAATCGATTGTTCTTAATACAATATATTAATCAAAATATAATATAATTTTTTTTTTTTTATTATGCATAAAAAAATAATTTATATTTTTTTATATATATAAATGTGGGTAATATAATTAAAACAGTTAGAAATAAATGAAAACTCTTCCAATATTTATGAGCGTTTGACAAAAAAACAAAAATAAAACACTAAAATTATATTATTTGTTAACCGTTAAGTTGAAATACCTACAGAAACTGAATTAGGTATACGATAGCATATCTGACACCTAGTGTCATATATATAGCAATGTTCATTTTTTCATCCCATCGTTTATACCACCATTGAGTTTAATTTCCAGAATTCTATAAGATATATATTTTTTTTATTTACTTTAAACGTTTAAGTAATAAAACATTACACTTTTTTTATTTAATATTTACACTCAAAACATTCTTACAATGGATTTATATTAATATTTAATTTCCAATATAAAACAAGATAACTGTATTAAATTATTTTTTTTTAGATTTTCTTTTTCCTAGTTAAGTTATTGATTAATATCTAAACAATAAACAATCATGAACAATCATGTTATATACATTAAATTTCTAATCATATTAAGATCGTTATAACCCTATTTTATGTGATTAAATTACTAAATATATAATTGATATGACATATTGGTAATTTAATTTAAAATCAAAGTAAATAGTTAATTTTAAGCATTTTAGTTTTTTATTTCAAATCAATTGAACAAAAGTATTATTTACATAAATGTAATATTACTTATTAAAATTTATATCACTAATGTAAATAAATATATATGATTTATAAATACAGAATTGCTATTTTTGTAAGTAATGGCATATTATTTGAATTATAACCTTGGTATTATTATAAATTTATATTTTAACAACACCATGTAGAAAATCTTATAAACTATCATGTTAAATTATAAATGATTTTAACTACTCAATTTATAACAATTACTTTTTTCATAATAAATAATGATGTATTACGTATAATATTCAAAACTAATATTTTTAGTTTTATATATGTTTTAACTCGTATAACAAAAAAATGTATAATGTATACAATACATTTCATTAAAAATCAAATATAGTAATTATTCATTAATAATTATAATGTTGGTATATTTTATAAATTAGATACGTATGGTTATTAAACTTAAAATTTTTTTTTTTAATTTTTACATAATATTGATACATTTTGAATTTATTGTATTTTATTCAAAATTTATTTATATCAGTTATATAAATATTTATGGGTCCTAATAATTATTAGACGAATATTTATCAATAAAATACAATTTGATACCGAATAAATAATTGATACTTATTTATATAATTATATAATTATTAAATTATAATGTATACGAGTTCTTTAGAAATATAAAGGACAAGATCTTCTGTAGAGATTATTGTAATCCTTTATTCAGAAACTTTTGAATCCGAAAATCCTTAGCAGGTTTCAGACCCTTATTAATTTTTGACCTTATAAATCTTTTCTACGAACATTTCGGATGATACAAGATAGTTAAACCCAAAACACACTCGATAGAGCTTCGAAGAGGAGATTAGTCTTGTGGCATCAATTAAGATAGCAGAAAATTAAAATTAGTCACACTAATCTCTTAAAAGTCGTTGATCAATTTTCCAAAGAACAAAGACAAATCCCTAAACTATATTGGCTAAGTTTATAATTGGAATTTTATTTATTTACTATTTAATTAAAAGAGAATTTGATATATTAAAAACAATTGCAATACGGCACATTTTTAATTAAAAATAATTAAATTTTAATAAATTAAATGTTTATAATATTATTTTTTAAATTATATTGATATATTGAAAAAATTATTTCACATATTACAATAATAAATAATTAAACTGTACAAATTTAACTGGTAACTATACTATTATAGAACATTAGAAATGTCCAACATAAATATATTAATCTGTTGAAAATTCAAATAAGAGAAAACGTCATCCTTAATATTTTCAAGAAGCGCCAAAAGCTTAATTTTCAACATGAAAATTTAATTAGTGAATTGATTTAAAGCCTAAAAATAAGCAAAAACCTTAATATTTAATAGTTTTCAATTATATTTGTGATAAGAACTGTGTGTAATATAACCTCAAAAGTTTAAGCTTAAAATATTTTTTTTTTTAGACACACCATGTCTGTGAAAATGATATGTGTTACATCTGCAGTTCGGTGGTATTATTAACCTCGTCCGTATACGTGAAGATATTTATTTAAGTGAGAGCTGTTGACGACTTTTTACGTCACCCGTTCATACTCCATTGTTTTCTGGTCTATTTTCAAACTTTAATGGTTATACTTGTGCATAATTTGGTTAACTTCTATATTATTTTTATTTAATTATTATTATTATTATGTTATTGGTTTTGTTCTCATTAATATATAACTTAAAGCTATAATTACATTAACAAACACAATATTAAAGATTATGACAATAAATCAATGAAACAGAATTAAAATTTAAAGGATAAATTATCGAATTATATCATTGTATAATATATTATTTGATGCAACTTTCTCGCTAAATGAACATAGATTACCATTGTACTTATGAGTTGCAATATTTTAAGTTTTAATATATTATTTAAAAATTAATGTTTATATTACTTGTATTTTATAAAATACAAAATCGATTGGGGCCATATTGAACACTCACAAAGAAATTTAAAGTTTTGTTGATGAAGTGGTTAATAAGTTATAAAAAAAAAATTTAAACGACTGAAATTTGTTTAATACAATTATTTTTTGCTATAACACAAAATATAATATAATATTACATATATATGTATACATAACTATTATGAACTATGATATAATACTATGTATAATAGTAAAATGTAAACTACCATAGACCATACCTCTTTTATAGAAAAATTTGAAAATATGCAACTACCATTCAATTTTTCCATTATATCATCTTTATAATATAGTTCTTGTTATTTAAAAATATCAAAAGCATTTAATAACGTACTTATTGTATATCTAAGTTTTGAACTATACGATTTACCCGATGTAAACAATTCATAACAATATGTCTATTCGGACATTTTTTCTTTCTCGGTGTTCCATTTTCCTTTGTCACCGAGTAAAATAGAACGATTAATAATAATTTATTTTGCGACTTTAAATCGAAATATAATATACAGATCTAAATAGCTGTAATCTTCTAATAAATTTAACTATAACTTATAAGTTATAACTTATACAAGAAGGTATACTAAAAAAATAAAATTTGACTTATTGCTCACTAGATATTATATTTTTTTTTTTAAGATAATTATTCTACCCGTAATTTTTTAGCCATAAAACATAATACACATTACAATAAGTGGCTTGTCGTGGCGCGTTGGCTGCTACCAGTCGCGGAATGCGACTGAGAGTAAGTAACGGCCACAGCTACTAGCTTCCGGATGGGTGACCACCCGGGATCATGTTGGTTAAAAACCTTGCCACACATACATGTGTTTACTATCAACCGTAACAATCATAAAAAAAAAAAAACAACCTACTGTACCAACCTTACCCTTACCACAGTTCATAACCCCTACAACAGCTAATAGCCCTAATCACCGAAGCTTAAGTTCAATAAAAAAAAAAAAAAAATAATAAAAATAAAAAAACATTACAATAAATTCATGAATTAAATCATAGTAATTTATTTGTTGTTGTTTTTTAACTAATAACATAACATAAGTTATATATTTTTATTTATTAAAAGTGATAAATACAACACTTTAGTTTATTTATAGCATTAATATGTAACATGCTATTAATTTTTCGATTTTATAGATTTTTTAGTACTTGTGAGTTATTAGAAATCTGATTAGCATTTATAATAAACTATAAGTTTATATAAGTGTATGGAAACTTTTTTACTACTCCAATAATAATGAGTGAAATTGCTTCATTATGCATATTGAAAATTAAGTTTTATTCAAATTCAAAAATTGTTTTTATGATGCCTAATGTATTAAAATCTTACCGGTAAGATAAGTTTCAGCCTCGGATGTCCATGTCCATTCCGGATCGCCATGTCGTCTCAAATGAAGACATTCTAAGTGTAATATAGATCCAGGGAAAACAACTAATCCACCATTTTGGTCTACAGCTGCTGATCCTGATGGAACCCGTACCAAAATTGTCGGAGGCGAATTTTCTATACAAACACATAATAAAACTTACATAAATTATTATTACTTATTTTATAATCAATGGTATTAAACACCATTGGTTTTAGATACTCAAGTTTGTTCAGGTCACACATGCAAGGTTAAACTGAATCACTTAATTCGAGTACTCAGGGTGTTTCTGACATTTTACGGGAGCAAAAAAAAAAAGACAATGAAAGATACGTTAAGTATTTTGGAACGTTAAGTATCTTGAGACCGTTGTCAAAACCAGACAAACAACTAGTACTGCTGTAATATTCGATTGCAAAATCTTGTTTTTCTTTTAAAATCGATATACCTCTAAAGTCCAAACCAAACATTATTATTCAAACACTTCAGACATTATATATTACAAAAACTGATCTACATAATTGAACAATTGGACGTATTTAAAGAGTAACTGCAGTGATAATATTAGTGTACAATTAACAAAATATTATTTTAATGTATATACATTTATTTTAGTTTTTAAAAGAAAAAAAATATTATCACTATAGTGTAAGATACATCGAGAAGGACAATCTTTGTTTAATTTATTGTAACTTAATAATTTTATTGATTATCAAACTAAAATAAAATCAAATGAACATCAAATTTGTTTAATTATATTGAGACTTAAATGAATTTTATAATGAAAATAAATAGGTATTAACATGTTTTATAGTCTTATAAAAAGTTTTATATAGCCAATAATATGAAATTTTAAAAAAAAAAATCTTATTTTATACAAACAAAGTAATTTCGTTTTTAAAATAATCAGATATTTATAAAACAAAATTTTTAGATATGACAAAATTATATCACCTTTAGATTTTTTAAATACCGAAATTCATTTTATTAATTGTCGATGTTCTGTATCGGTGGTACTGTATATCAGTAATAGCTACGTGAAAATGTATTGGCGAGTTTTTTAGTTAAGTTAAAAAATATAGAACTAAAAATTTCCGTAAAATTATGAAATCAGTTTTAAAATATAACACTCAATCTCTTTCTCTTTCTCTTTCTAAAAAAAAAAAAATATTGTCTGTTGCACATTTGATCAAGTAATCGCAAATTCTGATGAGAGTGATAATTAATTATAATTTTTTTTTTTAGATTTAGTAATAAGTAATTTAAAATTTAATTTTAGATATTTATTTAATTTAATAAATCAAATTGGATTATTTATGAACACATATATTTCAATTATAAAGCAACTAAAGTCTTAGTGAAATTTTTAGATAAGCTTATTTATTATAATTAATATGATTTGTTACAATGACATATTATACAAGTAAGTACTTTCGTCTATTATTAATATTTTCTTTTTTTTTATTATTATTAATATTATTACTATTATATTGAGTAAAGATATGTTTTACTCATTGATTAATGTATTGTTTTTGTTTACTTATTCATATTTGCATAGTGTAATACAAAGTTCTTACCAATAATAGTTGTTTTTTAAGATTATAAACCATGAAAACAGCCAAACTGTCCAAATCATCAAAGAAAAATGCAAATACTTATAACACAAAAGAAAATAACTTTTATTTTCTTTGAACAAGAAAAGGCCAGAAATCATAAAAACTAATTATTGAATATAATACAGATAAAAAGAATTTTGGTCTATGGAAATAAAAATATAACATTTATACACAGTTCATTTGTGTTATGAAATATAGCATGATATAATATTAAAAAGTAATAAAAAGAAACAAAAAAAAAAAAAAACAAGTAAAGATAACATACATAAACTGCAGAGTTATTATTTAGTTATTTTAAACAATTTAAAGATAAATAACTATAACTATTATGTCTTATATTAAATTTAATAATGAGTAGTAACTAGTTTTAAACAATTATTTATTATAGAATAATATTCTACTTCATATTATAAAACATAATAATAAAATAAATACAATGTTTACATGCAGAAGTGCCGAAGGTTGATTTTGCTAAGATTAATGAGCTTATGACATTTTTCATAGGCAAATAAATGGGTGGGTGGATATAATGTGAAGAAAAATAGGAATCTTAGTTTTACTATTTACACATTTTACTATATTAAATTGTAAGTAAAACATACCCAAGTTGCTACTGACTAAGTACTGGGTACTCATTAGTTATTCATTACACTATGCTAATGTATAGTACACACTACACAGTACACTACTGCATTTATAAGTATTTATATTTTATTATTTTATTGTAAAACATACTGTGATTAAATTATATCATAAACTTTGGCGTCAATGTTTGGTGATTATAGCTAATGGATAATGAAAAGTTATTTACATTTATGCAATAAAGAAAACATGATTAAGAAGACAATATGTTTAGGTATTATATAGTGTTTAAAATATTAAAGCTTTAAATTCTATATATACATATATATATATATATATTACGGGAAAAGTATACAATTTGGGCATTTTCTACAACGCCCGAGCATTGTATAAAATAGTCTTCTTATATTGGGCAATATAGATAATATAATATTTATTAGTAAAATATTGTCAAAATACGTATAATGAATAAAATATATTTACATTATTAGAAAATATAATAATTTTTTTAAATTTTTATATCACTTATTTTTGCATGACGTACTGCTTCCTTGGAATTTTTTACTTGGTAAAAAATAAATTATTTGAACTTTTTTTTAACAACTCATTTAAATCTGCATTAAACTTTTTCATATTTTAATTATAAATTGGTACGCAATTGAACAACGCAATACAAACGGTTCGTGATTACTAAAAATGTTATTTTTTTAATTCTCATAAAAATAACATTTTTATTGAGAATTAACCTCGTAGGCGTTTACTAGACCTTTAAAACGTTCCCATTGTAAGAAAACCGATAAAAACAAACGAAAAAACACACTAGCTAATTTAAATCTACAAATAATAATCAGTGCTTAATCTCGCTCTAATATCTTGACAATAATTTACTATTAAATATTATATTACCTATATAGCCCAATATAAGATGCCATTTTATACAATTCCCGGACATTGTAAAAAATGCCCAAATATATATACTTTACCTATAACATATATTAAATATGTAGTGAAGCCGTGATTTCTCAAATGTGCTAGTTGTGCACAGTTAAGGAATCGCTGCTCTAAATTGTTTGAAATACTTTTGTTAGTGGGTAGGTGAGTGTAATGACTCAAAATAAAATTGTCATAAGTATTTCAAAATACATCGACGCCCCAGTTTACATGCGTAACATAAAAAAGTAATAACTCAATTTTTACATTTTCTTTGTAAAATTAAATATAATATATCTTATTGGAACTTGTGTTACTGTGTACATTCTATTAAGTCAATAATAAATGATAATATATTGTATATTTATTATTTTAAGATGTTTAAATAAATTAAAAGTTTATTAAAATATGTGTATTTACTATTAACATTAAATATTCAAGATTAGTTTAATCCTTCATCTTTATTTATTAATTATTACCTTATATAACTAAACATTTTATAGAACATAATATTATTATAAATAAATAAACAAAAAGATTGATTAAACCATCATAATAAAACATACAGTTGTAGTATTGTAGACCCATCAGCCTTCCGTAAAATGAGTCTTGCCTGGATGGACATTTTATTCAATTTCATTTTATTTTATAATAACGAGTAAAAGAAAAAAAGTTTCATTTGTTTAAAAATATTTGTTAAATTTTTGAATAAGATTCAAACTCAGAAGCGTCTTTTCAAATACAACGTTTTTTCGTTGTTTTCAAACAGATAGATAAATACAAAAACATCAACATTGGTGGCCAACATCAATCTCATATTATTACTATTTGTCAATTAAAATAATTAATATTTAATTCCATTTATTTATATAAAGTGATTCATTTAAGGATCTCACCCTATTTATTTTCTTATTTTTTTCAATAAATAATTTATTTAAATTCTTAATTTTTGAAATTATTTGAATATACATAAAGGTAAATTTTAAAATTCATGAAATTGTTTATATTAATTAAGGAGTATCTTATGACAATAAAAAAATCTATATTTTAGGAAATCCATTTTTACTGTAAATTTTCTAATAAATAATATATTTTTTTTAATTTTGATGTACCTAATTCAAAATCAGAACAAGTAATTATTTAGTTATTCGAATATTTATATCAAGGATAATAGTCTTTAAAAATAGTTTTACAAAAATATAAAATTGGTTATATTTTAACTGAACCAATATCATAAATTATAGACATTGATAGATAAATTTAAATTAACAATGTATTAAAATTACCATTGCTATCATATCTTCTAAACTTATTATCGTACAAAAATTTAAATAATTCTAAACTACTCATTAAAAGTTTAATTTTGATACATGTTTCAACTTTCATAAAAATTAAATGCTAAATAATTTATAATACAAACGAGAAGAAAATTTTTCATTTGAAAAAAAAGTTTGTATCTCCTCAAGACTTCATTATATAGTAAAAAAATAACAATTATTTGAAAATATGGTCTTTAAATATATTTAAAATTCCAAAAACCAGATTTTGAATAAATACATTATTGAAGAAGAAAAAGGGAAACTTTTAGGTCCTATGTATGTTTAATAAATAAATTATATTTATTATCAATTTAGAAAACTAGTTTTCTTTGATTTATAGTTTAATTTTTATAGTTTCAGAGTATTAAAAAAATAATAATAATAAAATAATAGAATTAGTATAAACTTATAGTTTATAAGTGTATAAATATAGTTATATTTATATAGATCCCCAATTAAAAAAAAAGATCTTAAACTCTTGATTTTTTTTTAAAAAGAGAAATTAAATAATTTATGTATTATATTTTAAATATATTCCTTGTGTAAAAATCTTAATTAGGTATTTAGGTACTGAAACCTCGATTTATAAATTAAATTATTTATGAAGTAAAAAAATTTTAAACTTTAATGTAAGCTTGTTGGATTTAATTTATATAATGAAATTATAAAAAAAAATTACGTTTTAAAAACGTATCATAAATGTTTAAAATAAAGGGTTAAAAAAGGATGACCTCACACGTGATAATTTTTCTCACATATATAAATACACAGTGTATATTTTAGTGTAAATGCAGCCAATAAGTTACATTTTAGCGTAATATGATTGATCATTTTTGACGATACTACCAGTTTGTTTTTTTAAATATACGAATTAATATTTGAGGGAAAAATAATATTATTTAACTCAATCCTTATTTATATTACAACGTATTTAGCTAAATACATTGATAGTTATTTTAACATAATTTAAAATTTAAATTTACTTTTCATTAATTATGATTAGTGTACAAATTCTATAAAAGAAAATATATAAATAAAAAGTAATGTGATTTTGATACATTTCTTGTTCAAATATCAATTTAAAAATAATAATACAACAATTAAATATTAATTGGTAAAATATTTCTATATTTCTGAATTTATTTTTTATTTATTTTAAATAAATAAATACATTAAAAAAAAAAAAAAAAAACTTTTGTAAAAATATAATAATAGGTTTATTTTATTTGCTCAAAAATCATCAATATTAAAAATGAATCACAGAATTTCGAATTGCATTTGTAATTCCGAAGTCATTTTATGATTAATGTTATAATCATATATTTTCATTTACTATGTTAATATGTATTAAAAATGGTATTTAATTCTATACTTTATAATTAATGTCATATTGTCAAATTTCAAAATACTATAGTATATAATATCTATGATTAATAAAAATTATTTTAGCTCTGAAAAGAACTAATGATTTGATTATATGTTTTACCTAATAAATATGTTATTTTAACAAGATTCTAGTACATTAATTATTTTTATCATCGTCGCATATTATCTGAAACTTTCAGATTTAATTTATAATTCTAATGAGATAACTCGAAATAATATAAATGGTAAATTATAATATAATATAAATCAATTGCACCTTAATTTTTTAAAGAATAAAAAAGTATGTGTTCTCACACTTAATTGTGGCGAAAAGCTTACTACCAATACAGAAATTTGCTTGCTATTATTTTTTTTTCATAAATAAAACTAGTTTAATTATTTTCTTAGTTGTATGTATATCAATTGCACAATGAATCTTTCACCTCTTAAAACTAATTTATTTCTACATAAATATTTAAAAATGTAATATCTAATAATCTATTAACGTTATTTTTATAGAATTATTTTGAATACAAATATGAAACAGATACAAATTATTTCCTAAACATTTAGGTATATAGATAATAAATATATACATTGACAATACCTATTCATACTGATTCGCATTACTATAAGAAAGAAGGGATCTAAATTATCTGATAGGATTAATCAGTAACAACTATTAGAACAGTATATAAATTTAACATTCGAGCATTTAAATTTTAGATGAACATATTGGAATGATATAGAGGTATCAAATCAAATGTTTAGACACTTTATTGATAATTTAAATTTTATTAGAAACCTAAATACATTTGTAAATTTAAAACGCATTTAAAATAATAACTATGTACTTGTATTGAAACAATAAATAACTTCGAGTTGGTTTTTTCAAAGGTATGATGTATACATATTTAGATTAGAAAAATATAGTTAAAATATATTAGTAGTTAATTATTTTAACTTTATTTCAAAATATCTATTTTTTAACAATTAAATTGATTTTTAATTTGTTTAAGAATATCTATGAAATAATTTAATAATATGTATAGTAATGATATCAGGTGTAAAAAGAAAAATACCTGAATAATTAGTGAATAGAGTTGTTGGTTGACATTTGGGTATCGGGCTAGACCAAACGCCGTTACTACAATTTAACACTGGAGGTCCGCTAAGTTTGTATGTACCAATTGGTTCTTGACATCGTGCTGATATTGTGCTATTATGAGGTATTGTCGTATTGAATTCCTAAAAAAAAAAAAAACAATTATTATGTACCTATGTTTAGTTAAAAATTTCCAGGTTTCTTTAATTTAATTATAATAAAATAAATGTTGTTTAAGTACATTTGATAATTTAATCGTAAAAAAAGTAGTTAACTATAAAAATTTTAAAGCACAAGATACAACAACGAGTTGGTTAAAATAAATTTAAAATTAAATTAAAATTAATTAATTAATTTTTAGAATGAAACTACATTTTTTTAAATAAATCTTATCTTAATACAACGATTATTCGTTAGGTTTATTTGTTTTCCGGTAATTTTTTTATTATTTACATAATACAACGCATACGATAATAATATAAAAACGCATGTTTATTATATGTAGATGTATATTATGTTAGTTAATCGTTCTCTTTTTTATCTTCCTTTATTTTTTTTATCGTTATGACTGTTTTATGTTCGTCTCGTATCCATTAGACGAGATATTCTACGAGCGTTTATTGCCAAGCACTAACAATAACATGTATATACATTTAGAAATAGCTATTTGAACGTTTCGGAACAATGTTCCAATCAATTATTTCCGCCATCCGTCTTCTATACAATTGCAAAAAACAGCACCTGATCGAGAGGGCGCATTATTTTTAATTTTGATATTTATGATACAATAAATTGTTTATTGGAAATATATGATCTATTATACAAATGCGTACAATGACATTATTTGTAAGTTTTTTGTGTGGGTAATAATACAGACTTAAAAAAATTATAATCTCTGCCATATAACTAATAGCAGCTGCCTGCAGTAGGATTACAATAAATCAAATATGTGATAATTGTACAAGCACAAAAAAAAAGGATAATATTGCAATACAAGTTATCATTTCCTCATTACGGATTATATACATTTATATGTCTATTGTACGTAGGTTGTAAATTGATGTACAATGAAAATTATCGATTACATCCTTGAACATTTTTTATTTAAAAATAAATCGACGTTTTTTATACATTTCATTGTGTAATTATATATTAATTTAAATTGACTTTGAAATAACCGATAAAATCAATTGAATTAAAATATTTACTTTTCGATCTCTTCTATATTAATTCTAGTTTTCTGGTTAAATTTAAATTCAAAACTTAAATATTAATTAAAAAATTTATTTGAAATAAATAATAATTTTCAATTATTACATCTAAAGTAGATGTTATATTAAGTATTAGGTATTTTACACTAATAAAATAATATATTTTTATTAGTATGATTTTAAAAGTATTTCTCCTACTTCAATATTGTATTTACTAAAACAATGTTTATACTGTATTTTAATAAATCACGTAATAATCAATGCTACAGAAACACAATTTAATGGCTTTATTATATGTCTAGTATGTCTACTTAACACATTTACAATTTCCACATTACAACTTACTAGGTATATTTTATCAAAAAAAAAAAAAGCGGACAAGTGGGTACCGCTCTGTTGTACATTAGGGGGTGGGGTGAACCTCGGACTAGGGTAGGTTAAATTTGAATGCAATGATAAGTATCATTGTATACGAAAAAAGATTCTGAATGGAGATAATTTGTCAGTCTAGGGTATATTATATTTAAATATTGTCATACATTCTATTTTGAAACAAACATTTTATTTTTCAATTAGGACGCATTTGCAAAAGCCATGGTTAATCAATTAATTATTAATTTTTATGAATTATACCTACAAAATAGTTTGCAAGTATTTCATGGTTTTGATGAATTTTTGTCAATATTTGAACTTGAAATGCTAATAAAAAAGATTGTGCCTATGTTTTCTTAAATTTTTTTGATCACTATAAGAATAACTTATGAGGAACTTTGTATTAAATGTTCAAGTATTTTGATTGGGCCAAAAAAATTTTATCGACACTTCCAAAAAAATTTTTCAGAAAAATTGAAAATTTCAGTTGTTTATAAATAGCTCAAAAAAGTCAAAATATTTTGAAAATTAAATCACGTAAAGAAAATGCCAATCTAAATAACTGGTAAAGTTTTCAAGTATCTATGACTTATACTTTTTGAATATTAACAAATATTTAAAATCATTTGAGGATAAATCGTTATCGTTACGCTGTTTTGCAAAAATTTAAATTTTAAACACACTTAAAATGTTTCCTATAATGATGCTTCGAGTTTTTACTATAGCTACTTGAAGGAAAACATAGTGTAGTATTTTTAATCCTTAGTTATAACTTATAAACACAAAAAATCTTATGATTTTTCAACTTCAAAATTACTTACAAATTTTCGCGTTTTCGATAGATTTCGTAAATATTTCAACTATAAACGTTTATAAAAAAAAATTGTGACTAACGATTTTTAATTTTTTTTATCTACAATAAGAACAACTCATAAGGAACCTTGTATTAAATTTTAAAAATTTTTTGGTCATCCAACATTTTTTTATCGACACTTCAAAAAAAAAATTCTTATAAAAATCGATAATTTCAGTGGTCTATAAATAACTCAAAAAAAAGTTAAAAATTTTTTTTAAATTAAACTGTATACAGATAACACTAACATAAATATTTGGTGAAAATTTCAAGTATTTACAGTGATTAGTTTTTGAATTACAACCCTATAAAAAAATCGATTTGGTCGAAAATTGGTTTTGCGTAAAAATTCCCGTTTTTCCGTCATTTTTTTTTTTGTTTTTCTCGATTTTTTTGAAAACTGTTGAAAAATGTTTACTTTTTACCTCTATAATACACGAAGGATATTCACTTTGCCATCGGAAACCACCCCCGAAGTTTTAAATTGAAGCATTATTTCGACTACTTATGCTGTACACAAACACAAAAAAAAAAACACATTGTAAAATCAATATATTCATCACTCCGTTCAGAATCTAAAAGTAGTAAAAGTATCAGAAATATTTTGACAATGCATAAGTCAATATTTTTAACTTTAAAATTGTACATAATATTAGTCTTAAAAGTTTATTTTAAAAATTAGCTTTGGAAAATTTAAGTTGATTGATTTTAAACTGTTTTAACAAAATCTAAATGAATCAATATTTTAAAAATAATTATAAATGAATTTAATGAGTAATTTGAAAGCTATAACTCGGATAAAATATTATTTGTGAGTTCGCGATTATAAATTACACAATATAAATAATTAAATATTTTAATTTTTTTTTTAATTTAGTTTGTTATACGCAATAAGATTAAATGACTTACTTTTTTCTAAAAAAATATTTTCTACTATACAAATGTAAAACATCTGTTGGATAGTATACTTTTTAATAAATTATTATTAATATCAAAATAATTGTGAAGAGCATTTTGTAATTTACTACGATTATTACTTATGTTTTAACACGTATTATAGTTAGATGATTTTAAAATATTTTTTGTTTATACAATTTCAAGAAAATTATTTAATTTTTTAATATTTAGAGATAAAATGTATTACTTCATAGACAATCTAAACTAAGGTATTTAAAACATTTTCAATTTCAGTAAATATCAATATGCCATATATTTTTTCATCAATTAAAATTAAACAACATTTTTGTTCTAACACATATATTATCAAATTCATGTTTTGCATTAAGAAACTCCTTTTCAACAACTCTTCAATAAAATATGATACCTATGACCTACCTGTCGATACAATTTATCTAGGCAATGTTTAAAGCAATAATGTATTTAATTTTTTTATAATTTTATAATATCTATTATTCAAAGTAACTATTGTACTGTTGTAAATTAAACCACTATGTTATTGGTAATGTATTACATCATTAAATATTAATATATTTTTTTATGGTACAGCAAAACAAACGAGTATCTAAGGATATATACATTTTTGATTTTAAAAGTAAGTTATTATCAGATTCAGACAGGTACTCACATATACCTAGTGATGTAGGTACAGCTTCACTATAGCATTTCAGTATTTTATATGGAAAAATGGATGGCAATTTAAACCAATTTACAACAAGTAACCATGTAACCCGCAATGGCCACTTGTGTAATACAATTTTACGTAGTATCCAAATGAAGAGTTGTGTACCTAACAGTAAAAGCGAGGGCATTCGAGTCCATTCATGCAAACCAGCCACTAGTGTATAATAACAAACGAACACTTCGTTACTATACAAATCCTTTCTCCTTCCACCAACATTGAAGTGATTATGATAATAATCATAATAATTAATAACTATAATAATAATAAATGGGACATTCCGCAAACGGACTTTCCCGAAGCCACAACCGTGGATGCCTCAGGTTTTACGTATATAAATACACAAATTATTATTATATGTAAATTTGATTTCGAAGTTGTAATTAACGAGTGACTGGAAGGGATTGCTTCGCGTGCCAACAGCCGCTCACCCTCAGACAAGTGTCCTGTACTCAGAATATGAATTGGGTGTGTTTCAACTTGTCAGTCTTTACGCGCCAATGGATTTTATCAAATTTTCTCGTTTCATTATTTTGACATTCTTGCATTAAAAAAGATGCGACACGGCATGCTAGTAAATATTATACTGAACTTAATTTAACAAATCATGCGTAATGGTTCTGATGAATAATTTAAGACAGACTTAAAAAAAATAAATAAATTATACAAGATTAAAAATTTTTCAGTTTGTTATTTTTGCAACATCATTCACCATTAAACCAATTGAGTATAAAACATTATTGTATTATATTATTGAAAATAAATATAAAATACAGTAAATTGTATAATTTTCATAAAATACAGTAGTCAGTAGACATTAGTGTATAAAATATATTTTTATTTTTCATAATATAACTTAAAATAAAAAGTATACTATCCTAAAGGTATGACTTCAATTTAAAAAAATAAGATAATTTAAACACATCTAATTTTAATAAATTCTCTTGAATTTCTAAATAATTCTTTCAACTTCCACTCCGTTTTCAATACAAAATCTGAATCTACTATGAAAATATTGAAAACTTTTATTTTGGAAGCTAGCCTTATTTTATAATATACCGGCTATTT